ATTCATTCACATTAGGTACCAACCAACACCAAACTGGTTATGGGAAACAGATCATATCTAAATCAAACTTAATACCCAAGAGGTTAATTTACTCCTTAGAACTTAAAACTGAGCAATGCTCTAAGGTGTCTCATTTAATTTTGAAGGAATACAACGAAGATGCCAACTCCTCATGGGAAAGGAAAAATCAGGTTAAGGCCTCAACGAGACCAGAGAAGAAGATAAAACACAAGTCAGGGAAAAGAGGAACAGAGGATAAAATCTGGAAGGGGAAAAGTGACAAGACAAAGGTTGCCTAGAGATGTCAAGGTAGAAGGTCTAGGAAATAAGAAATGTATTATAAAACAGCCCAGATGTAAAAAGGGAAATACTATCTTAGAAATATAAAGCACAGGACCCATAATAAAGCACTAAGCCTCATAATGCAGTATTAAACAACAAAAAAGTAAGTATTTTGCATTACAGCATGTCATGAACAGTCATCGGGCCCTAAGTAAAAAAAATAAAAAGAGTTAAGGACTAGAAAACAGAAATAAAGAACCTAATTCAACAAACCAAAGCACAGAATGATGCTGTAATGAATGAAAACTATTATCAACCAGAAATGCTACCCATGGATCCATATCTCTTGGATTCTTTACCTGTGGCCGCTGCTTGTGCTGTGTCTGGTTTTGGTTTTGAGGTTGTTCCCAGTTTCCCCGGGCTCGGTTAGTGCCCACCGACGTCATCATTTACAGTATATACAAATAACAGTATTTACAAGGTAGAATACTGAAAGATTAAAAAAAATAATTTAGGTGTTAAATGTAGGCAAAATCTGTTTTTAACATTTCTTTCATCAGCACCTTCACCACCACTTTCACTTCTTCAAAGGAACAAACCAAAAAGATTCACCTGTTCGCGCAACATAATTATTTGGATAAATTCCTTAAGGAACTATGGCTGTTAATCCATTTTTGTATAACAAAAAAAATATAAACTAAAAAAAGTGATGGATTTTTTAAAGAAATTACAGCACAGTTTGGTTACCAGCCCCCTATAAGCAGGCTTTAGGACATTTAGCTATCTTGTTTGTAAGCAAGACAATGTTTACGATCAAAAGTCTACGTAGGTGAAAGTATCTGAAGTATCTTTGACAGAAGGAAAGATAATCAGCAAAGCCTGGAAGCAAAAGTCTTCCAGGAAGGGGATTAGTCTATACACCAAAGGAATATTTTAAAATATTGTATTCAATCTACCTAAGAAAACAGCATTAGCTGCCTTACAACCGTTTTATATAAATTGCATGTGACCTTCATTGCTTGGGAAAGGACAAATTCAAGTCTAGCCTCTTTTCCCTCAAGTTTCATCTCTCTACATGCTACAGGATTTTTTTTTTTTAATTTAATATCATAGCCTTCAACAGGGGATGTACTAGCCCCAGTGACTTTGTCCAGAATCTCAGTTCCCTGGATAGTAATTCCAACACAATGCATTTACAACTGCTTCTCTTGGTCTCCTAAGACCACATTTTCAAGAAATCAGAATTGCAATTACCCTCCACTACTCACCTTAATATACAGGGAATCCCAAATTTGTCTCAAACCAAAAGCATCTAGCATAAAGTTTTATCATTTAAACTTGAGACATTAAAGCTGGCAAGATGACTTAGCTGAGTTTTTAAAGAGAGACAGAACACACAGGGCCTACCCAAAACCAGAACATAGTTTTTGTTATAAGACCTCTAAGCAGCTAGGATTCTATTGAATTCAAGTTGTCTTCATTCATACTTAGTTTTAATAATGCAATCTCAGCTGCTGTATTTAGTAAACAAAGAAAACATTCATCATATCACAGAGTGCTCAAAATAAGAGGTTACTTTGCATTTATTGTTTTATTCCCTTCCAAAGAGGAAAAGTTTGTATTTTCTGCTCAGTATTTAATTTTTCTCATTAATGAAACTTCATACAGGGTAGTTCTAGACAGAAGACATTGCTGGACTTAAGGGACAGACTGGAAAGTCTTCTGAAGAAATATGCAAGGATTAACTATTAAGGGAAGTGAATTTCACCTGTTTCTTGGATGTCAGAGAAAGCTGACTTTCCTGTGGATAAATTCTTCACCAAGTGTGTCAGTAAGTTGCATAGGTCTTTGTTTTTTGATGTGGTCATTAATTAAGAGTTGTACATTCTCTATCACCAAGAAAGATTTTTTAAGGCAGCTTCAAAGGTAATTTTTAACCTTTACCTCTTCCCCCCAACACACATGTGCACATATAGGCCTGTAAATATTTCAAGCTAGTACAGGATTATTTGCTACACAGTAGTCCATTTTCCCATGCTGGCTTTATAGTCAAGTTTCAACATTTAATTTACAAAAAAACAAGTGTTGTTTGACCAAGTACCCCAGGATCCAAATCAACAAGAGGGAATAAAAAAGCAAGTTAAGAAGAAAACTATTATGTTTTTAAATTGGCTCTAAACTGAAGTTTTTAATATGTAGTCATTCCAACCCACCCCTGTAACTTACAAATATTGACTGCTTTCTACTCCACATGTGATATCAATTTGTGAGGATGAGTTATATTGCAGAAATAAACTCAAGACTAGCTATATGTGACCACATATCCCATACCAGTCAGATGTAAATATATTAAAATATCATCTTGAAAGACACATAATTAACCAGGAAAGAAAAAAAAAAAAAAACCTCCTGATTGCTCTTGCTATTAAGATTTTCCTTTTACAAATGCTTTCAAAAGTGTGACTATGAAAATTTTACCATCTAGGTTGTAATAACACTGAGCAACAGGTCAAAAGTAAGTGATCTGGGATGGATCACTTGAGGGCACAGAATTAGTAGCCTTTTAGTAGCAGAGACACATACCCAGAGTTATCACAGTGGAGGTGGGAATCTTGTTACTTTTACTTAGAAAATAAAAATATTTAAGAGAAGTGGGGTGAGAAATATCGGAGACCAAGGAAATAGTGTAGGAGTAAATACAGGTTTCAACACAGGAGTGCCCTTGACTATTTTTTGAAAACCAGCTACTTAAAAAAATAGCCAGAGAAATTTTACTGAAAAAAATAAATAACAAGTATTTATTGAGTATCTACTATGTGTCCAGTACTTCAGGAAATACAAAAGCAATATGACTTGGTTGCTGCCCTCAGGGAGCTTACAATCTAATTTAAGGAACAATTCAGAAACTCTGAAGCTGGACTGGGTTGGCTAAGGATTAGCTAGCTCTAACAGAGCAACTAATTTCCCTAGATTTTTTGTTGAAATGGCCCTTGCATTCCCTTCCCCACCACCTTGAATCTAGTAAGAGTATTGCCCAGGTAGGACACACTTAGTAAGGAGAGGCTTTAAAAATCAAAAACAAAACAGTACATTTTTAGGCCTTTCATCACTAGTTTACGTGCCAGCAATACTTCCCATTCACAAAGGAAACAATCACTGGGATAGTTTAATCTTTAAGGACAATGGTGTAGAATCTCAAAGCAGATTTATCAACTGATACAGTCAAAATGTTTTAATTCTCTAGTAATGCTGGTTATCACTGACCCCCATCATCTCCCAGCAAGTCACATCAGATATCCCCAGAGCAAGATATGGGGGAGGGGGGCAGGGTAGACGGGGAGAGGAGACAAAAAAAGGATTTCTCCATTTAATAATCAGGGAGAATCTAAGGCAAAAACGTTAACAATAACAACAAAAACGCCTGTTACTGTGGTGTTTTTCTTTCCACAACATCCTACACCAGACGTGGCTACATTTCAAGAATGGTGGAAAAGGAGCAGTCTCCTGTTTGTGACATCAGTTTGCAAAGCGATTTCAGGCGTCCACAAGGTGAAGGGTCTTCAGAAATTTGGAATTCTTGTCCCATTGTGAGAAGAGTGAACAAATACCCCAGTGCTCTAGTGACGTCCCTTAAGCGTAATACACCCTATGGGGGCCTCCATGTCCAGCTTCCCAAATAACATCATAATTGTTTCGGGTACCCAAAACTACAGTATAAACAACAGGAAGCTAAAGACAGTAGCAAAAATATATTTTAAGAGCTGGGTTGGTGAGAAAAAAGGGAGGCTAATAAGAAGAGCTGACAAAGAGGCTGGAAACGGAGAGGGGACGCAAGCCCACGCGTGGAGGATGGGAGGCTCACCCCCCCTCGGCGCCACATCGGGAACCCACGGGGCCCATCGCCTCACTACCTCCCACCCGAAACAAATTAATCCTCCGCACTCCAAACTGAGGGCCACATGGGGGAGTTTGGGGCAGCTCCACCCTATCGCCCTCCCTCCCCCCGCCACCCCCAAACCAAGCCGGATTCGGATCAGAGGAGGCCCGCAGGGGGTTGGAAAGGGAGGAGGCCTTCTCCTTCACAAGCACTGGCCAGGGTAGAGAGAGGGCCCTACCTCAAGCAGAGCCCAGGCCTTGCTCGCTCGCGCTCTTTCTCGCTCTCCCCCCGTCAGGCTCTAGCCGCATGCCCCCCCCCCGCCACGGCTGCCCCAAGCCCCGCCCCGGCCACGCTCCCAAATCGAGGCCCCGGCTCTGGCGCGGCCCACTAGGCCGCGAAGCCAACCATAAACAAAACCTCCGGCGGCCGACTCGAGGGGGGGGGGCGCCAAGACTCGCATGACTAGGAGGGGGGTGTACAGTGGGGGAACACACGGTGCGGGGGGGCCTACCGAGGGAGGGGGATACGGCGGGGGCAGGGGAGAAAGGAGGGAGGGTAAAAGGGGGATCGCGGATTTAAAGGGGCCGCGGACAATACCCGGCCCCGCCGCGCTGCCGCTGCCGCCGCCGCCGCCGCCAACGCCGCTGCGCTCCCAACTTTACCTCAGTCTCCTCCACACTGACACCCCGGGCCGCGCCGCCCCTGTCACGTGATATAAGATTCCCTCCTCCCCACCTCCCTCCCTCCTTTTCCCTCTCGCGCTCGCTCTCGCGCCTTCCCCCTCCCACTTGCCTTCCTGCGTCCCCCGGTACGTGACGTGAAAAGGGACGCGCACGCAAGCGTGCGCGTGCCACCTCGCCACGAGACACTGTTTTCCGGTTCCGCGAATCCACCCCGCCTACTCCACGGCGGCCCCGCCTCCACTACGTGACGCACGGATGGCCTTCTCTTCCTCTTACTGGCGTAGTTCCGCGTTTCCGCGCTCTCAGCTCCCGGGTGCCGTAACCTGCCTAAGTCACGTGTCGGGGGGAAGCGGGAAGGCGTCGTTCTCCTTTTTGAGCCCCCCCCATCCGCCATGTTTTCAGGCCGGGTTTGTCTTGGTCGTCCCCCTTAAGGAAATGGCCGGGGAGCTCCAGGAAACCCAGGCGCCGTCGCTTCGGCGGAGCCCGGGCTGACGAGGCAGGGCGGCAGGGTAAATCGAGCAGTTCTGCGCGAGGTAGGGAGGCCATGGCGTCCGGCAGTAACTGGCTGTCCGGGGTGAATGTCGTGCTGGTGATGGCCTACGGCAGCCTGGTGAGGAGATCCCCCACCCCATTCCTGCTGTCGCATCTGACCCAATAGAGACCCTCCTCTTGAGCCGTTCCATGACTTCATTCTCCACCCACTCACCTGGCTTTTTCTGAATTTGACTCCTATCTCAGAAGTAGCTAGGAGTTTAATTCACCGACCGGGACCAACCCTCCCCTGGCTGAGAACCCTCCCTTTAAATCGTAGGGCACAGACCCCACGCCTCCCCTCTGCTGGCTTCCTTGATCCACACGCGTCTTTGACCGCCTTGCTTTGCCCCACGTTTTGCCCAGAAGCATCCCTGAGAGCCTGAACCTGGGGATTTGGAATGAAGGCATGCTTTTTTTAAAAAAGTTTTTATTAAAGGTTCTTTGTGTCTTTTTGGACAGGTGTTTGTACTGCTATTTATTTTTGTGAAGAGGCAAATCATGCGCTTTGCAATGAAATCTAGAAGGGGACCTCATGTCCCTGTGGGACACAATGCCCCCAAGGTAGGTCCTTAGGGTACAAGATAAACCTATTTCTCCAAATCTTTTTAGGGACAAGAATGAGACTTCTTCTGCCTTTAGAGATGACTCATTACCATGTTTCTTTGTCCAGTTACCCTCTTACTTAGTTGAGCAATAACTGTCAGCCCTGCGACTTGGTTTATCTGCCCACTGCTGTGGCACTGCATGTAGCTTAACCAGGAACCTCAGTTTTTGGATCTGCAGAATGAAGAGCTTGGATTGAAGTTCCCAACTGTCTTAAGATGTTTCCCAGTTCATCTTAAATTACCTAGGTTTATTTTGTTTGTTTTGATTTTGTTTTAGAGTGGGGTTGGGGTACAGTTAGCCCCAGAGCAATGAAAAGGGTTGCCTTTGCAGAACTTTAGACTTAAAAGTCTTTAAATTATCTAATTCCATCATTTGTTATATACAAGCCCATGAAAAGGAAGCAATTTACCAGAGAACATAGAAAGTGAATAAGGGTGATTTCTTACTTTTGTCTATATTCTCTCTCCTTAGTGATTGCCTTCCTTTCCATGGCTTTTTTTTTTTTTTAAAGAGACAGGGTCTCTGTCACACAGACTGGAGTGCAGTGGCATAATCATAGCTAACTGCAGCTCTGAACTACTGGGCTCAAGCGATCCTCCAGCCTCAGCCTTCCAAGTAGCTGGGATTACAGATGTGAGCCACTGCATCTTGCCTTTTCCTTAGCTTTAAGTATCTACAGATGAAATTTTCCCTGTATCTCAAACGTCTTTCCTAAGTTCCATACTTATATATCTGACTGCCTACTTGACATTTCCATTTAATAGACATCTCAAACATAACATGTCTAAATCAGAACTCTTGATACCCAACTGCCACCCTCATCCTGCTGCTTCAGTCTTTCACTTTTTAGTGAAAGGCACCTACTGCCCTTATCAACCTCTTTGTTTATGGCCGTCCCCACCACCACCACCACCACCACCACTACCACCACTGGGATCCTGCTCCACTGGTTGAATTTCCCACCTTTGCTACTGTGACCTAGAATGGTCTCCAATTGGATAGCTTATTCATTCTTTTAGATCTTAGCTTAAATGTTACTTTCTCAAAAAAGGAATGCTTATTGCCTATTTTAAAGTAGGTCCCCATCTCTATTTTTTCATGGTACCCTGATTTTTTCTTCATAGCATTTACCATAATTTTTCTTTTATACATATGTATTTGTTTAAAATATGCCTCTGTCTTCCACTAGACTTTAAGTTTCAAGAATGCAGGCACCCATGCCAGTTTTATTCACCACTGTAAAGCCACGGCCCACATATAGTAGGTACTCGATAATTTCTTGTTGAATGAAAAACAAGTTAATGCCAGGGCCTACACATTACATGTACTCAATAATTTGTTATCAAGTGAAAAACAGGTTAGTGAAAGAGCTAGGGCTAGTGCACTGTCAACTCCTAGAACAGTGTTCTTTCATCAACTGGTGTTATTAACCTTCTCCTCCTTGTGCTTTGCTGACATATTACATGGAAAGGCTCACGGAGGATATGGCCTGAAACTTCAACAGTGCTCCTTCCACCTAACCCACCCCTTCCTTCCACCTGCTTCTCACGAGAGGAACATAGGGTTATTTCTAGCACATCATGAATCAATCAAAACTTTGGCTATTCAGGCACCCCCTGGCCTATATGAGATCAAGATTCCTTTTGCTTTAAAAAATTCATCTAAATTTCATCCATTGCTGGTGGGTTAGTAAATTAGTAAGACCACTTTGGAAAATATTGGGCATTACCTAGTAAGACTGTACATGTACCTAATTGTGGTCTGGCAGTTCCCCTCCTACCATAGAGAAATTAATTTTTGTTTATGTGTACCAGGAGACATGTATAAGAGTATTCATATCAGCATTATTAATATTTAAAAGAGTAACATCAGCTGGGTGGGGCAGCTCACACCTGTAATCCTAATACTTTGGGAGGCCAAGGCAGGAGGATGGCTTGAGGCCAGGAGTTCAAGACCAGCCTGAGCAACATAACAAAACCCCATCTCTACAAAAAATAAATGTAAAAAATCCCAAACTTAGTCCAAATGTCTACTTTTAAATGGATATATAGAGGAATACTGTAAGGAATGAAAATAAAATGGAGATAAGTAATAAATGAGGGAACACAAATGAATCTTCAAAATACTTTTGAATGAAAAAAGTAAATTGCTAACATGAATGAATCTCAAAAACATGCTGAGTGAAAAAAGCCAGAAAGGCATTCACAAAAGAATACGTACCATATGATTCCATTCCATTTATATGAAATTCTAGAAAAGGCAAAACTATAGAAGAGAGCACATCATGTTGCTTGGGGCTGGGATGGGGAGATTGACTGCAAAAGAGTGAGGACACATCTTGGGGTGATGGGAATGTTCTTTATTTTGATTAAGATGGTGGTTGGAGGGGTATATTTGTCAAAGCTCATCAATCTGTACACTTAATTGTGAATACATTTTAAAAACAGGTTGCAGAGGAATTCATAAAGTATTTTTCCATTTGTGTGAAGTTCAAAATGAGGCAAAGCCAAACATCTTGTTTAGGGTAACATGATAAAATAGTGAATAAAAGTAAGAGGACTGTTGACAAGGTTCGGAATGGGGGGCATTCAATGAGGGATGGGCACACATGGCTTCAAAAGCATTGCTAATGTTCCATTTCATAAACTGGATATTGTATTCAGGTGTTCATCTTAATGATTTTTTAATTATTGAAAATGTACATATGTAGTATCCATATTCTGCGTATGATATATTTCACAATGGAAGTTTCTAAGAAGTTGTAACAAAAAATTTATTCCCTGGGGCTCTGGTAATCCTTTTTAGGCAAGAGAGATGGATATGAAACTGATAATAGTGGTTGCTTCTGGATAAATGAGAGGTGGTACATTTTTAAATTTTATACCATGGATGTGAATTACCTGTTTTAAAAGTTAAATATGCTTTAATTTTCTTTAGCCTCTAGAAGTCCTGTGGTCCACCATGTGGAATAGTCTCCAAACTATTATAGACTAAATACAGGCCTCCTTATAGATTTTTAGAGTAGATTATGACTTCAGTTGCTGTCCATTTTTTCCCAACTCACGAAGTTCTTTATAACAGCTAACCAAGATTCTTCTAAGTGCAATTTAAAGTCTGGCAATTTTATTAGCTACAAGAGCATTTTCTCTGCTTCTCTTGTCTTAAATGTTCACTTACTCTGCCCCCTTTTCCAGAGTGTTGGAAAGCAGAGGGCAGGGTAAGTAATTATGTATTCTTTTCTCTATGTGAACAGGACTTGAAAGAGGAGATTGATATTCGACTATCCAGGGTTCAGGATATCAAGTATGAACCACAGCTCCTTGCAAATGATGATGCTAGACTGCTACAGCTGGAAACCCAGGGAAATCAAAGTATGTAGCAAGCTTTTGGAGGATGCTTCAGTGAGGGGTTCCACAAGATCAGAATTCTTTTGCAGCTGCTGGCAAAGCCTCATTTATTCCTGTTACTGGATATATGCCAGATGCAGGGAGGCAGTTTATTAGCTTGCTAGAGTTTGGGGATTATCTGATGGTTATGCCTGAGACCAGTCTTTTTCTCAACAGATTGCTACAACTATCTGTACAGGATGAAAGCTCTGGATGCCATTCGTGCCTCTGGTAAGGGCTGCCTGACAGGGTCCATTCTAGGATCCTGAAAGCTCACCGAGGGAACAGAGTGATGACCTACTTTACATGTTAGAATTTGTCCTTTCTGCATGTCCTTGGCTAGTAGGAATTTCCTAGAGTTTTGAGAGTACTAGATTGCTGTTTGCCAAAGATATGATGTAAACAGGTTATTTCTTCTCCAAAGAGTCCAGGTGTTTTTATTTGTTAAGGTTCTTTTGAAGCCTTTAGCTTGATGAATTGGATGATGGTGATTTGCTTGTTTTTCCACAAAGGACAGGTGACATCTGCTTTTTCACTAAGCACAAGATGGATGGTTCTTGAATTTTTTCCATCCTCTGACCACTTATCGTATGTGCTCTGTCTCTACCAAAACATAGTTTATATCTTAAAGCCAGAATTGGTAAGTAGGATGGTAAAATGTATGATGACACTCTCATGTATCATTACTCAGCTTAAAGCTTTGTTGCCACCACCAAATGACCAATCAGGCACAGCTCTATAGCTTTCATCTTAATTCTGTCAGAAATTCCCTCCACCTCAACTTACTCATTTCATTAGATCCATTTCTGAGTTCGGGAAATTAACTAGAAGGACTAAATTATGGGAGAAGGGTTATAATTGTGCTATTATCTCCTCAGAGATCCCATTTCAGGCTGAGGGCCGGCATCCTCGTTCCTTAATGGGCAAGAATTTCCGCTCCTATCTACTAGATCTTCGAAACACTAGTACTCCTTTCAAGGGTGTGCGCAAGGCCCTCATTGATACCCTGCTGGATGGTTATGAGACTGCCCGCTATGGGACAGGGGTAAGCTGGATGGTCAGTTTTTTCTCTAAGGAGCTAAAGGGATGCCCACACTGAGAGACCCTCACTCTTCCTTTCTCTTTCCTAAGGTCTTTGGCCAGAATGAATACCTGCGTTATCAGGAGGCCCTGAGTGAGCTGGCCACCGTGTGAGTCTGGAGGGGAACCTGTCAGAGGGGGCTGGTTAGAGAATATGGTAGTGCTGGACTGTTCCCACAGTGAGAAGACCTTCAGAAAGTAATGTGAGCAAAATCCATGCTACCATAAGAGTTGTCAGATTCTAAACTATTAGAACTGCCTCTTGCTCGCATTAGAAAGCAGTGCTGCTATACAAGTTATTAAGAGAAGCTTCTACTTTCATGTGCATCTTTTTCTTTTCTTTTTTTTTTGGGGGGGGCAGAGTCTCATTCTGTCACCCGCACTGGAGTGCAGTGGTGTGATCATTGCTCACTGTAACCTCAAACTCCTGGGATTAAATGATCCTTCCTGCCTCAGACTCCCAAGTAGCTGGGCTACAGGCATGCACTACAGACCTGAGCTAATTTTTCTGTTTTTTTGTAGAGATGGGATCTTGCGACATTGCCCAGGCTGGTCTTGAACTCCTGGCCTCAAGCCATCTTCCTGCTTCCGCCTCCCAGAGTGCTGGGATTATAGGCATGAGCCACCACCCCCCTTTTTTTGGTCCAGCCCAGTAAAATGTCAAAATCGGTATAGCCTAACAATGGGAATAAAGTTTTGCAGCACACAGGGATTCCCTCTGTTCTGGGGTCTCAGTGTCCTTTTGTGTCTTGATCTGATAAAAGAATTAAATGCCACCCATTTTTATTAGCACTTGAAGACTTAGTAACCCTCTCTGAAACAGGTCATCAGAGTCAGCTGTTGAGCATTTGTGTTTTAGGAGAGGAATCATGACTTTTGTTTGGGAATGTTATAAATATGTACTAAACATAGCTTCACTGATTCTTCTGTCTTCTATCTCTGGAAATTAGCTACCTTGTTCTTAAAGACAAAAAGTCCTAGTAAAAACTGCTTAGAACACTAATGAAAAATGACATGTATGGAGGCTGGAAAAGGACATTTGGTCTGGATGTTGGCAGGAAGCCTGTTCAAAATTCAGTTTGTTTGAAAGACAAATACTGGATGATTCCACTTATATGAGCTACCTAGGTAGTCAAACTCAGAAAGTAGAATGGTGGTTGCCTGAGCCTGGAGAAAGGGGGAAGTGGGGAATTGTTGTTTAATGTCCATAGATTTTCAGTTTTGCACGATGAAAAGTAGAGGTTGGTTGCACAACAGTGTGACTGTACTTAACACTACTGAACTGTAGTGTAAAAAATGGTTAAGAAGATAAATTTTATGTTATATATATTTTAAAGTTCTGTCTCTGATTTCTAATTTCTAGAAAGGTTCAAACCTTTCTAGTACAGTGAAAAGAAATATGACAAACTTAAGTTTGGATCCCAGGTCTGTCACTTAATAGCTTTGTAACCTCATGCAAGTTAATTATTGGACCCTCAGTTTCCTAACCTGCAAAACAGGGTGATAACTTATGTAGGGGATATTGGGATGTTGGTAAATTAGATATTGGTAGAGCACCAGGTGTAATGTCTTAACATGTGGTAAGTACCCAATAGCTGCTTCTGTTCTTATTTTTTGGTATTTGGTTTTCAAGGGACTCTCTTTATGTTAGCTGCATATATACATTGAGTGAATCAGTAAAGTTAAAAGTTTTCTTTAAGTATAGTGAACCAGACGTAAGGAATTGGTGGGAAATTGGTTTCTCTGTTATTTCTAAGCTACCAGATGGGATTTTAGTAACTAGTTTACAAGAAAGGACGGAGACCATTTGTGGCTACCATTGTATTTATGGGATGGGATAAGTCCTGAATTATATTCTTTCATTAGTCCTCATTCTGTCTATGACCTCCCCTCTCTGTATTCTTCAGGGTCAAAGCACGAATTGGGAGCTCTCAGCGACAACACCAGTCAGCAGCCAAAGACCTCACTCAGTCCCCTGAAGTCTCCCCAACAACCATCCAGGTGACATACCTCCCCTCCAGTCAGAAGAGTAAACGTGCCAAGCACTTCCTCGAATTGAAGAGCTTTAAGGACAACTATAACACATTGGAGAGTACTCTGTGATGGAGCTGAAGGACTCTCACTGTAGATTGAGCCAGACAGTTGTAGACAGGCTGCTGGCTGGGCAGCCCCCAGAACATCTGGCTTAGCAGGCCCGGACTACATCAGCTGAAGCTCCCATTGTGTCCAGAGTTCCTAGAGCTTGTGCCTAGAGAGTCATTCCCAACGCTTTCTGACAGGCATTTTTAGAACACTGGCTAAGATTTTATTTTCCACCAACAGCACTTTTTTTTGGATTTGAATTCAGATGTTACTCTCAACTTTTCTGTCAAAGCCTCCTTAAACATCTTCACTTGGTTTCAGCCATAGTTTGATGTGCCCTGTTCCAGGGTTTTAATCCCGTAGGTGAGAGTTGGAGTGGGGTGTTTTCTGTATCTACCCCTTTGTTCATGGTTAAATAGAAACTATTTGGGTATAGAACATCTCAGAGTTGATTGGTGGAAAAGGCAGATAGAGACTGGTGGGGGGATGGGGTGAGGAAGTGGGTGGTATGTGGAACAGCTTACCCTGGTGCTCCACTTAAATGAAAATGTGTTGAAACATTAACACAGCTTTCCTAACATGCAAGGACCTATCCTTCCACTTTCATTCCATACTTTATTGTGAATAAAAGGGAATGTTCTGGCACCTGGTGTAATCTATGCCAGGCCTTGAGATAATGGGAAGAAATGGTTTCCCCAAACAAGCCAATGCAGTGGTCTGACTCATAAATTATTAATAAAATGAACTATTAAAAAATAAAGTATATGATTGATTCTTTTAATCAAACAGGCATATGATATGTTCTCTGCACATTTCTAACAGGGTATAGGGCATGAGAATTTGCCTCCAGAAATTGGTGGAACTGTGTGCATACCCTGGACGTAGGACCATTCAGATACTCCTTGGGACCCCAGCAGAAGAAATCCTGAAATAGGGACTGTGGCCTTTGCTCATAGACTTGCTGTGTCACTAATAGAAGTCCGCAAAACCAGGATTCTCTTTAGGTCTCCAGGGCAACAGGCCAGGTGACCAATCAACTCCTAGGCCCAGGATCATTGTTGGAGGCATAAATGTTGCTATGACTACTGAAACCTTGGTGACTGAACTAAACAGAAAGGAGAGCCTGCCCAGTCTCCTAAGACCATATCAAGCAAGTCTGTAGACATGTCTATGGAAAAGATGACAAAAGTAGAAGAGGTATGCAGACTTGGAAAGAAGGGCTGGGTTGGAGGAGTTTACCTTGATGAGGTTTCCAGATCAGTTTACCAGAAGTGCATCATTTACTGGGAAAGGCTTTTGATGTAACAGAAAGATATACTGTAGTTAGTAACAGGAGTGGGAGGCTGTATCTGGCACATAGTAGGTATTCAAATACATATCCCATCCCACCTCCTGCATGTTTTCTTCGATACATTCTGGAAGGAATAGAGCTTTCTTCTCCCCATTGTCCCTAGAGAGTGACTGCTTCCTCTCTCAAAAGAGAAAGATGCGTCTCTCCCTAGAACGGGGTACTCGGGGTGAGGTACTGGAGATGAAGGCAGATCAACAGAACTCCCTTTTCTTGCAGAATTTTCAAAGGGCCATGAATCTTAAGAGGATGGTCGACAGGTAATCTCTGCTTCTATCCCCTCCCTTCACTTTCAGCTTGACCTTTCTACTCCCCTGTCGTCCCTGAGCCACCTCCCAACTCTGTTCCATCTTGTTAGGGGCTCATGAAGAAGGCACACAGATGTGGAAGGGGGTAAGAAGCAGTCTTGTTCTCAAATCAAGCAGAGATCAACCTCCAAGTGCCTACTAGGTTTGGCTGTATGGACTGTATGGTTTTTAATTGCTTCCTCCTTCCCATTCTCTGAAGGAAAATTAGAGCAAGTTGTTTTTTTTTTTTTTTTAAGAATTCAAGCATTTGTTGTCTGGCTTTGTACTAATCATGTGGTAGGTGTTGCAGTATTTGTTGAATGAGTGAATGAGAAGCCTCAAAAGGTTGCAGTGCATATTCACCTGGGGAGCTTTTTAAAAAGTTCTGATGCCCAGGTCTTATCCTAGGAGATTCCGGTTTAAATGGTCTGTGAAGAAATAAGAGAAGCCTCTTTAAGCTGAATGAAGCAAATTTCTATGTGCTAATACGAAAAGTCCAAATTATTAAGTGACACTTCTTATGTAAATGTATGATCTCTTATTTTTAAAAAAGAAGATATACTTGCTAGTAAATGATAGAAAATTTTTCCAGAAGGATGCACAAGAAACTGCTAAATTTGTTGAGAAGGACGGGCAGAGTGAAGCTTTTACTTTTCATTTAATATATTTCTATGTGGGGCCCAGCGCGGTGGCTCATGCCTGTAATCCTAGCTCTCTGGGAGGCCAAGGTGGGCGGATTGTTTGAGCTCAGGAGTTCGAGACCAGCCTGAGCAAGAGCGAGACCCCGCCTCTACTAAAATTAGAAAGAAATTAATCAGCCAACTAAAAATATATACAAAAAATTAGCCGGGCATGGTGGCGCATGCCTGTAGTCCCAGCTACTCGGGAGGCTGAGGCAGTAGGATTGCTTGAGCCCAGGAGTCTGAGGTTGCTGTGAGCTAAGCTGACGCCACGGCACTCACTCTAGCCTGGGCAAAAAGAGTGAGACTCTGTCTCAAAAAAATATATATATATATATATATTTCTATGTGGGTTAAATTTTCAAGTCGTGGAAAAACTACTTTTGACTTTTTAAAAAATGTCAACAGTGTATATATACACATACATATATACATGATGTATATGTATATTCCTTTGATGCCTTAAAAATCTTTTTTTATTGTTTAAAAAAACTTTCATGAAGATTCCAGTGTCCAGCCAGGGTTGAGAATCACTGGTATGATGGAAGGAATATTAGCCTTAGAGAGATTAGAGACCCAGGTCTGCCACTAAGTGACCTTGGGCAACTCACAAGTTTTCCCGACTGTATTGTGTAAAAATTAATGCCTCTGCCACATGATTATTGTAATGATTAAATGGCATAATTTATACACTAGGTTCTAAGTTACACTTTTAAGGACTTTACATCTCTGACATTGGTACAGAGGTTCTGGGTGAAGAAACAGCCTCACTCATGAGGTTTTTTTTTTTTTTGAGACAGAGTCTCACTGTGTTGCCCCGGCATCATCCTAGCTCACAGCAACCTCAAACTCCTGGGCTCAAGCGATCCTCCTGCCTCAGCCTCCCGAGTAGCTGGGACTACAGGCATGCGCCACAATGCCCAGCTAGTTTTTTCTATATATTTTTAGTTGTCCAATTAATTTCTTTCTATTTTTAGTAGAGATGGGGTCTCGCTCTTGCTCAGGCTGGTCTCGAACTCCTGAGCTCAAACAATCCGCCCACCTCGGCCTCCCAGAGAGCTAGGATTACAGGCGTGAGCCACTGCGCCCGGCCACTCATGAGGTTTTTGTCTCCACTTCTAACTCTAACCCGTTCAACCTCCACCTCTGTATACCTGGGGCAGGTGGCAAAATTCACATACTAACTGTCTGTGGCAAATGACATTGAGCCAGAGAAGAAATCCATATGCCACCCTAAGGATGCAGGAGACCATGGTACAGGAATTGGCACTGGCCAACAAGCAACTACTGATGGTGAGTTCTATTCATTATTGCTCTGTGCCTTTGCCCACTAGGATTTCCAAACTCTTGGTCTCTATCATTACTCACCCATCTCATTTGCCTCTGAGGTTTCACCATTACGGCAGAACAACAACTCTAACTTCAAATGCCAAAGCTCTTTTTCATTAAGTGATTCTTTGCATCCAACTGGCAGTGGCACATTTTAAAGTCCCAAAGTGCATTCTAGTCCCTGCTCCTTTCATCTTGGTGAGACTCAAAACTGCCTCTTAGTGCCCAGCACCTGCCTGTCAGTATCTCTCTCTCCCTGGGGTCCCCGATTGCTGTCATGTAACCATCTTTGTATTCCGAGCACCTAGCAGAGTTCATGGTTCATGGTATGTTCTCAGCAAATATTTGCTGAACATGGGGCTTCACCCATGGAGAAAAAAATTGGATAGGCTTCTCCACTGGTTCAGCCTCTCTGCTCCTGCATAACTTTATGTCACGGTTAAGTCCAGGTCCAAGAGAACACGCCTAATAGGAAAGCAACTAGGGAGAGAGAATGAGAAAGGGTGGTAAAGACAGGGCAAACAACACACATTATTCTGCCCTCCCCACCAGGTCCGTCAAGCTGCCCTGCACCAGCTGTTTGAAAAGGAGCATCAGCAGTACCAGCGGGAACTAAATCAGATGGGCAAAGCTTTTTATGTGGAGAGACTCTGATGGCATCAAAAACACCGTTCTTCCACTCTCATCATGCCTGCTAACCTAGCCTTCTTGAGCCTCTACCGCCTTGAACTCCCTTCCCAAAACATTCCTGGATCTAGTGATCTGTCTAGGACTTAAGACAATGCTCCCACTCTTGACCTCTTCACTCTCATGTCGACCCCCTGCTGCTATTTGGGAAACAATCTGTGAAACAATGGTTAAAAGCAAGAGTGACGCCTTGTGGTCAGAGTGGGATATACAGTGTTGATGTAACGGGGCCGGGAATGCAGTAGGTGGACAATGTGATTTGAGAATTGAGAATCCCAACTTGGTTTAACAAATAAAGTTAGCTCTTAAAGGTTCAAACTTAGATTACTGGGCTCATTCTCTCAGCTCTAACTCTTGACTTGTTTCAAAAATGCTTCCTTCTCAGCTACCATAATCTTAACTTCCTGGATTTTGCTCAACACCTCTCAGATCTCACCTTCACTTTTCTGTATACTTGGACAAATTGCTCTGACTGTGGCTATTAATCTGCAGGCACTATGGTGCTTGGGTGTCAGGAAGCCTGCATTTTGGGTTTTGAGTCAGCTAGTTATTGGGAGACCTTGGGCAAGTCTCTTTCCTCTGGGCCTGAATTCCCACCTCTGCAAAATGAGAGAGTTCCAAACTTACATGCCTCCAGGATTCAGGCTGGTAATGTGGCAGGTGTAAGGAAATAAGGATTGGTGGGATTTGTAGGTTGCTGGGAAGAACATGTCCAATCAAAAGGCATTCAAAATTCTGAAAATACTGAAAAGTACTGATTGACCATATGCATCCATAGACCATAAAAGAACTTCACTTATAAGGGTCCACTTTACATGCAAATGACATCCCAAACCAAAGAGACCCCCATTTCACAGCCAGTGGCAGCTGTAAGAGCACACCATCACTCCCTGCTGTCAGCACCTTTATACACTACTTTGCCCTGTACTCTCACCTTGCCATTGGTGTCCTCACTGGTCACTTATTCTATCCACATGATCTTTTCCCACCCTCAACTCCATGTGCCTGTGTCTCTGCTGCAAACCTCACACCCTTCCTTCCCCACTGCCCAAGTCTGTCCTTATCCTTCAATCTCCTGATGAATCCCCCATTATTCATCTCCTAGCTGTCAGAGTTTCTCCTTTCTCTGCCCCTACACTCCCCGCTGATCAGGAGCACTGAGAGGCCACAGGGTGTGAGGAGAACAACACAGGCTTTGGAGTCAGGTGTGGGTTCAAATTAAAGAGGTTTCATCTCTTTAATTCTTATGCCATCATGTGTAAGGGGTTTAACTTATCTGAGCCTCAACTTCCTCTTCTGAAAATGAGGACAATAATACCTATCTCGTAGGATCATTTTGATAAGTAAGATAATGTATGTAGAGAGACAGAGCAAGCCCAGTGCTTAGCACACAGCAGGTATCCTCCATTTTCCCCCCAGGAGATTTCCCTGTGACCCAGGTCCTTCAGAGATTGTTTGTTAGCCCTCTGGCCAGCCCCCTTATCCAGATCAAATGTCATTCTCCATCCCATGCCCATCCTTCTCTCTGTCCTATATATATATTCATCATCCAGCTCCCATCACTTCTACTTCCCAAAGCCTCTTTAGTCAATAACTACTCATGAGTGCTTACACCAAATGATGTAGAGTTCACAGGCTGGTGAGAGAGGCAGCTGTTGAACAAGTAAGGAAAGGTATGATGTGAGTTTCAAAGGAGACAAAACCACACACACATGGCCTGAATTTGACCCACAAGCTTGAGACTGGGTCTCCCATCCCTTCTGTCTGTTTTCTGCCATTTCCTGGAGGTCCATCTTGCCTTCACTCATTTCATCTTCGCGCATGTATGTCTCCCAGGCCGCCCCCTGCTTCTATTTGGGCAGTCTAGCCTGGTGTTAGGAGAACAGGCTTCAATACTGGACAGAGCTGGGCTTCAGTGCTGGCTCTGTTACTGGTTGTGTGGCCTTGTGCAAATTATTTTGATTTTCTGGATTACAGTTCCTTATACAATATGTAAAAATTGAGATAATGCTCATTAGGTTGCTGTGAGGATTAAATAAAGCACTTAGTAGAGAGTCACACTTAATGTCCAATAAATAAATGGTAACCCATAATGATATTTTCTTGCTCCTATGATAATTTTTTCCATTTTTATATCCTCTCTATTACCTGGCCTCCTCCTACTCCTCCCATGTTCCCTCACCAACCCCTTCTATTTCTCTATTTATTTTTTTCTTTTGATCTTTTTTCTTTTTTTCAATAGCTTGAAAAAACACTCGAGCTCTTCTATCTCTCTGTTCCTCTTTCCTCTGTTCATGTGGACCCACAGAATGCCCCAATCCCTCTGCCTGATTCCTGACCTTGGCCTTTTACCCCAGGGCTTGTCAATGCCAGGCTGGCTCCAATATTGGCAGGTCAGCCTCCTACAGAGCCCATCTCCTCTGGTCCTGTCTATTCTGTCTGCTCTCATCACATCACCCCACTGCTCCCACCCAGCCCCTCTTCATTCTGTGGCTGATGCCTTACCCAGCTCCTCTGGCTCAGAAGGGCTCAGTCTGTTTGAAATGGCTGAATAGGAGAGCCGAAGGGCCTTCATGAGAGGCTATCTGATGTTTCTGCCTAGTTATGCCATTCAAAGTTTCCTTCCAAGACAGCTGCTCCTCCCCTATAGTATTCCCATTCTGCCTCTATTCCCCTAGTGCCCCAAACACTAAAGTCCTTTCAATTCCTGCTAGTCCCTTTCCCAGCCTCTCTTTCTCCAGCCTCTGGTTCTCCAGTGCGGGTAAGTTTCTTAGAGAAAGCCAGCCCCTGCAAAAAAAAAAAAAGAATAAGTAAAAATCACACACACACACACACACACACACACACACACCCTTTGGGAGCCATAAAGGAACAAGAACATAAGATAACATCATAGTTGCCTGCCCTGGGGCCTGTATGCTCATTTGTTAGTCTTCCCCTGGAAGGCAAGAGCCACACAACAGGAATTGACTGGGGCTTGGGACAAGCTATCGATCTAGATCAAGGACACTGTGGAGTTGGTGTATGCTGGGAGCGGGGGTGTCCAGAATGGGAACAAGGACACATGGAACAGGCCTGGGGGCTGAAGCAGAGTGTCCTACTCCCACCTCCACCCTTCCCCCAAAACCCCCAGCCCCCAGTGCAGCTATAACTCGGGCTCCTTTCTGCCACAGTGGAGAGAAGCATCTGCATGCTATGTGACATTCAACAAACCTGATTCTCTTCAAAAGAAAAATCCCCCACATGGGAACCAGTCTGGATCTCTGTAAGGGAAGACGCTTGGAGAAGCCAGCCCAGGAGTTCTTTTCATAAAAAGCCCCAGAAGAGGAGGGGAGCCCTAAGGATTGCAGGCTGCTTCCTGGAAAACGGAGTTGCCTCCCTCACCCTTGATCTAAAGTCTTAGTTTCAATTCTGCCAGGCAGGGGGGAACCTGCCTTCTCTTCTAGAGCCCATGCTGGAGCCTGCCAGTGAGACAAGTTGTTCTTCTGCACATCCAAGGGTGACTTTAAGGAGGATACCTGGAGGACGTGGGGAGAAGGTGAGAAGGGATAAGATGGAGGAATGAAGAAGCCAAGCATTTTGGAAGTTCCTAACGGCTACTTACCTGTAGCACTTGAGAGCAGAAGGATGCCACAGTGGTGTCCACTAAAAGGACCTCATCAGTCTTGTGGGGGTGATCTGGAAAGGTTAAGAATTCTGTTGGAAAGGTAAAGCAGGATGTACAAGCCCCCACTCCCACCCCCGGAAAGCCTCAGGGCAGCTGGAATGGCCTTGAAGAGAGCAGGTGGCAACTTTGATGAGGAGCTGCTGACACTGCCGATCCTCTGGGCACTGGAGCCGTGACATCAGGGGGAGAAACTCCGTGTGGGAGTGCTGGGGAACACGATAGGTGTCGGATGTGGAGTCCTGCCAGGTATTCTTCCTGGTTTAGGCCAACGTGATCCAGCAAAGGGCAGGCACTTATAGGAGAGGAGCTAAGGCAGGGATGGCACGAAGGGCACATGAGCAATAGCTGGCTGTCTTGGGAGGTGAAGACCATGGGCCAGTGCCCTTCCTCAAGGAGATGGCTCTCCATCTAGACAAGACTGGCGCCTGGTGTCAATGCTCTGGCCTTTCTTTGCAATGGGCAGGAAGGCAGATGACCACCAAAGCTCTCCCGCCTACTTCTGTGTGATATGTTTGATATTGGGTTGTTTAATTAGGAACCAACTAAATGTCAAACATATTCTTATAGCAGTAGGCAATTCAGCATCACCCTCTTTCCTACCTCAACCTTTGGGGCTCTGGGACTCCTGTTCTTTTTACCAAACTTCTTGTCTCCAGGACTTCTCTTGAAAGACCAGTAGCTACAACCTATGTAGATTTCAATCTTAACCTAAAGTGCTGGTGTGGGAGTGGGAGAGAGCTGGAATTTGGGGATCAAGTCTCTCTATCACTTGCCCCCTTATGCTAAAATGGATATATCTCTTTTCTTTATTTTCTCTTGTCCTTGTATTTTTCTCCTCCTTATTCCCCCCGCCCCCCATTATCCACTTCTTCTCCCTGGGACTCTCTTGTTCCCTAGTCCCTTTCCCTGGCTAGTCTCCAAGGAAAGGAGACTTGGTTTCTCTGCTTTCCTTTAAGACCCAGCAGATGGTTTATCTGCCTATCTACCTACCGACCTCTAGGGACTGGAAACTCTCAAGAGTGGATTCTAACTCTGCTGTGCCCTCTGTCCTGGTGGGTGTCTCAGTTCCCCCCTTGCTGGGGCTTGGCATTAACACTATCCTTGACATAATGACTAAGTAGAGCCATTTATATTCTTCCCTGATAGCTCTGGTCACCGTGAACAGTGCCCACATCTCCCCTGCCATATTCTCAGGTATATGGTGCCAGTGTACTGGGGATCAAATGCCACCTGTCAGTAACAAGCCTCCCAGTAGAAGAATAAACATGGCCTGGAACTAAACTGGGAAGAATAGGGCTGGTAATGATGATTATGATGATGTGATGTGTTGTGGGAGGGAGTAGTTAAGAAGGGAGGAAATGAAGAAAAGAAGATAAAGAGAACATAGACCTGTGTAGGTACAAAAGTTCTATTTTAAGATCACTATGGGAAAACAGAGGGCATGATCCTGCTGGATTATTCTGGCCCTTCTCTGTTTCTCACCCCACCCCACTTGTAGTTCTGAGATTGCCTTCCAGATCCCAACCCTATCCTTTTACACTATTCCTGTGGCTCTTAGGGGGGAGAAACAATGTCTCCTGGCTGATTAGAGACTCCCAAAATAGCATAGCAATTTGATCTGGAGATCTGGGAGAATTGTCAAGGATCATGA